AGTGTGATACTAAATCCGATTTCTCTTGCATGATTTTTTTGAGGGAACTCTTGCATGAACTTTTGCTTCCTTGCGCCTTCCATTTATCTTGTGAGATATCTTTCATGCTTCTTTGTTGCAGATTACCTGATCCAATGTCAGGATCCTTAAAAGTTACCAAATTATAATAAATCAGGAAAATAAAATGTTGCACGGTGTAATTGCACCGTAAATATTACTTAAAAGAGAAAACATGCACAAAAAACCAACATGTACATTCACTTGGGTTTCATAGCTCTTACAACGAATAATTATTTATTTGTTGATTTACATTGTGTATACACACGATTTACATTTTGATTTGTCTCAAGCAGGGCCGGCCCAGGGCGTGTGCAACCAGTGCGACCGCACATGGCTCGTGAATTTTGAGGGCCCAAATTTCCACTAGTCCTTCTATTATTATCCATAAGTTAAAACTTGTATGCTTTATTGAAAAATTTAAACACAAGGGGTTTTTGAACCCTGGCATATTCCATAGGCGTGAGGACGCTCAACCAGACAAACTACTTGGTTGATGCTAACATTTTTCGAATTTGCTATTTTTATACTACATATTATACAATTATTGATATAACTCATAAGATCTTAAGCCTTATACCATCAACTACAATTATTGATATACTACATATTAATTAGTAATCATAATAATAACTTTTTTTTATTTCATGCCATTATTAAATTAAAAAACTATTAGATATGTATGAAATATTCATTACGTCTATCAATTATATTTATATTTTTTTATATAAATATTTGTTTGACAACTTATTCATTTAATTCCAAACAATCAAACACATCTTAAATTTATGAATTCTATCTTAGATAATGATACATTAATTTTCAATTTAATCTTATAACATTATTAATCTTCACTTATATTACTACGTATATTTTTACCTATTTTTAGGAAAAGGCCCACATTTTATTTTTTGCACATGGTCCGTATTCTCTCGGAACCGGCCCTGGTCTCAAGTTATACTTTGGATACATGCCATTTATTTTTTTTCTTGCCTCAATTTACACAATTTTCATAGACGCGGTATATATTTGATATATGAATCAATGAATGTATGATGGGGGGAGAATAAATGCAGGAGGGAGTGACATGAGTCACAATCTCTTATCTGAGATTACATATGAAGTAACGTGTGTCATATTTCGGTGCACAAAATCTGCATTAGAAAAAATATTGAAACAAAAGCATACGAACTATTTTCACACGTTTTTAAATTAAAACTTAAATTTAAATAACGTCCTATACTCCTATTAGGTGTGCGAATATGATTCTCATTGTAGGACTGGACGATCACACTCCCATAATATAACGACTCACTCAATATGGGCCCGTTGAATTTTCTCCTAAATATTAATTACTCGTATGTAGAATATAGAAACGAAGAAACAATAGGGATGGGCATGCGGCTTGCCAATTAAAAGAAATTGATGGAACATATGGACTGCCAAATTCCATTAAATGCACATGCACTGGCCAAATCGCAAAATTAATTGCTCTTCAATACTTCGTACATGGTACTCCCTATATGTACAATTGGATGATTTTTTAATACTCGTATATGCTTACATTCTATTCAAAGAAATAATTTTTCTTTTTAATTCGCATGTATAATTGTGTAATAATTAATACAAAAAATATATATATTAAAAAAAGAACAAATTAAGTAAGATTAGTGTAGATGATCATTTTAGTTATATACTTCGTATGTATGTGCAACACAAATATTCGGGTCGGGAATTTCCTGACCGGAGCCCCGTCCGGCCTCCTCCATTTGGGGGCCTTCCCGGTGGTATTTTTTACTCAAATTTTTTGTGTATGTTCCTCATCAAGTCTAGTTCATCCATACCAAATTTCAGCAAAAAATTCAATCGGAAAGGTCGTCAAATGATTTTCCGGACCAGTTAACTTGCAAAAATCATTTGACGACCTTCCCGATTGAATTTTTTGCTGCAATTTGGTATGGATGAACTAGACTTGATGAGGAACATACACAAAACATTGGAGCAAAAAATACCACCGGGAAGGCCCCCAAATGGAGGAGGCCGGACGGGGCTCCTGTCCGGAAATTCCTGAGAGGAATAGCTCTCATGTATGTGTGTATGTATGTATATATATATATATATATATATATATATATATATATATATATATATATATATATATATACATAGAAAAGATCAGGTGAGAAGTCCCCCTTAAAATAAGAAGTGAGAAGCAATCTCAGCCCTTGAATTTGCATCTGATCTTACAACGCAGTAAACTTATAGACTGAATATAGGAACTTATAACCAATAAATCGTAACTTATAAAGCTCTCCATCATAATTACGAAAATGCCACCGCGTCCAAAAATTTTCAAGGTTTCCAGGCTTATTTTTTCGCGGTGGCACTTTCGTAATTATTTTCGACGGGGTCTATAAGTTATGATTTATTGGTTAAAAGTTCGTGTTTTTAGTCTATTAGTTAAACTTCGCAGTTCTCAGCCTAAGAGCACTTCTCACCTGATCCGCATCCTATATATACATATATATATATATACACATATATACATACATATACATACACACACACATATATGTATATATATACATATACATATATATACATACATATATACATATATAGAGAAAACTTCATGTCCAGCCGGCCTGACGGGAACCGCCGTCCGGCCGAGGACATTTCGGGCACTTCCCGATCGAATTTTTTGATGAAATGTTTTGAGCATGTTCTTCATCAAGTCTAGTTTATCCATACCAAATTTCAGCTCAACATTCGATAGGGAAGGCATTCAAGTCATTTTTTGAAGTTGACTGCGTTTTTATATGTATATTTTGACGCAGTAAACTTCAAAAAATTATTTGAATGCCTTCCCGATCGAATTTTGAGCTGAAATTTGGTATGGATAAACTAGACTTGATGAAGAACATGCTCAAATTATTTCATCAAAAAATTAGATCGGGAAGTTCCTGAAATGCCCTCGGCCGGACGGCGGTTCCCGTCAGGCCGGCTGGACAAGAACGGGACTCTATATATATATGTGTGTGTATGTATGTATGTATGTATATATATATATATATATATATATATATATATATATTAATAAAACATGCCATTTATTTTAAATATTTTTCTTGAATCAATTGAATTAGTCAATCTAGTCACTTCGGGCAGAACATCATAAATTTCAACATAATCGCTCGATTAAGCCAATTTAGGGTTACCAAACACGTATATATATGTGTATGTGTGTGTGTGTATTAATAAAACGCGCCATTTATTTTAAATATTTTTCTTGAATCAAATGAATTAGTCAATCTAGTCACTTCGGGCAGAACATCATAAATTTCAGCATAATCGCTCGATTAAGCCAATTTAGGGTTACCAAACATGCTCTATAAATTTCAGCATTAATCGCTCGACTAAGCCAATTTAGGGTTACCAAACATGCTCTACAATTTTCAGCATAAGCGCTCTATTAAACCAATTTAGGGTTACCAAACATGCTCTATAAAATTGACTGAATCGATTAAATTTATATGTTGAAATTTATGAAATTATGACTGAGTTAACTGCATTGGTAGAATTTGGTGAAATGTCAAAAAATATTTAAAATATACAAAGTATTTTGATAGTGAAATTAAGAAGAAATACTAAGTATATAAGAAACATCTAAAATGGTACGGAGTACTACGTACGTTATAAGTAGTAATTAATTAAACTACGTATCTAGCAACATAGCATTGAAATTTAAAATCTGCTAACTATGACCTACCACCTCGATTTCAATATTGAAAATATGTGACATCAATAGTCCGTTTGGCGATTTTGTTCTCCAATTTATCAGTTTACTTCTTTATCGAACACATCATTTGGAGTTCACTTCGGGTAGAACATCATAAATTTCAGCATAATCGCTCGATTAAGCCAATTTACGGTTACCAAACAGGTATATATGTGTATGTGTGTGTATATTAATAAAACGCGCCATTTATTTTAAATACTTTTCTTGAATCAAATGAATTAGTCAATCTAGTCACTTCGGGCAGAACATCATAAATTTCAGCATAATCGCTCGATTAAGCCAATTTAGGGTTACCAAACATGCTCTATAAATTTCAGCATTAATCTCTCGACTTAGCCAATTTAGGGTTACCAAACATGCTCTATAATTTTCAGCATAATCGCTCGATTAAACCAATTTAGGGTTACCAAACATGCTCTATAAAATTGACTGAATCGATTTAATTTATATGTTGAAATTTATGAAATTATGAGTGAGTTAACTGCATCGGTAGAATTTGGTGAAATGTCAAAAAGTATTTAAAATATACAAAGTATTTTGATTGTGAAATTAAGAAAAAATACGAAGTATATAAGAAACATCTAAAATGGTACGGAGTACTACGTACGTTATAATTATACTACGTATCTAGCAACATAGCATTGGAATTTAAAATCTGCCAACTATGACCTACCACCTCGTTTTCAATATTGAAAATATGTGACATCAATAGTCCGTTTGGCGATTTTGTTCTCCAATTATCAGTAATCAGTTTACTTCTTTATCGAACACATCATTTGGAGTTCACGCTCAATAATAATCAAATTAAGTAATCTTGAAGGAATTGTCTAAAGTTATTGTAATGACCATATTAACTATTTTCATAAATCACCCCGTATTTCTTTATTTTATTAATAAAGTATATTTTAAATGTAATTTTTTCACAATTTAGCGTATTCAGCCAATCAATTACTGTAATCATAACTTCATCAATTTCAACATAATCAGTCGTTTTAGACAATTTTCAATGTTAGATTTGCCGTCAAATCGGCCCTAATCTCGTTTCATTTTAAACCCGTACGTGCGGGACAAAAGTAATGGGATGTTCTCTAAGAATGGGCGATTTCAGCAACATCCTCCATGCTCCATTAATTATGCCTTAGCATGCAAGCGTCAGCTGTGTCGATAAATATACGACCCCTTGTATCTTTAATGGCATTCCAGTTTATTTAAACATACCAGTACAGCAGTACTCCCTCCCTCTTCCCAGATCTCTCATTCACTCATTGCCGTATCAATCTACAGCTAGTTTGCTTTTCAAAAATGGGGCTGGAAATGACGACTCTCTTTGCAATATTACTATGTGTCTGCTTCCTCCTCACCAAGTCTGATGGTAAGTGCTCCGTATATTTATATTATCAAAATATTGTTTAACTTTTTTTTCCTAATAATTTTGGGATTTTGGGTTACATACTACTTTATTATCAATACTTAGTTTTTTCTATGTCCGTGATATTTAGCAAACCAATTTCATATAATTACAGGTAGTGACGATTACTTTGTCAATGCCACTATTGTACGGAATGATCCCAGAGCGGGTAAAATTTTATATGTTTATTCATTTACAATCCTTATTTCTTAATGTGGGTTTCCTTCGTGTATATAATAATGCAACTTTTGGAAAATAATATTTCCTACTCCATAATTCGTTGTTTCAAGTTTGCTTGACGGGAAAGCCAGCCTCGTATTACTTTGATAGTGGCTTTAGTACTGGAATGCGGAATTGGCTAGTTTATCTTCAGGTATTTATAATCCCAGATAACCTAACAAAATACGAGTATAATTTATATGTACATGTCAATGTGTCATGGTAGGTATATCCGTATATGTATATGACATACGTAGTATATATTAAATAACAATTGGTTATGAATGATCATTTATCTAATTTAATTACTTGGCCGTATCCAGGGAGGGGCATGGTGTAACAATCTGGAGTTTTGTGTTGCATATGCTCAGAGAAAAAATCTTACCCTAGATCCTAAGCCATACCCCTTCGATTACATACTCAGCAACAAGAAAGAGGTTAATCCAGGTAATTAACTGTTTATTGCATGTTCTGTTGGATAAAATCTTGTTTTCATCATTCGTTAGTTGCAAATTTGCAATAACAGTTTGACTTAAATCATATCCAATATTACCGTAAGACCAAACTTTATTTTTAAATGAATTCACAAATTATACTATGAATATTGTCAACTTAGTCTTATGCTTCCTTTTTTAATTTATTTTCACTAATAGACAATACTTAAATATATTGATACTTAAGTGGTGAATGTCAGACTAATGCAAGTAAATAAAAACCTATATAGTATATATGTAATTTTATAAATCTAATTTTCATCATCCATCTTATTTTTCTTATTTAACAATGTGACTAAGTGACTAACCATTTACGTTGTGAGAGTTTTCAATTGATAGATTTCTTCAACTGGAATAGAGTGGTGGTTCGCTATTGTGATGGCTCTTCTTTCACATCAGACTCTGAAAGAATTTTTGAGTTCAATGTACAGTACATATATCTTCTTACTCTGAAAGTAATAATGTTGTTATTTATTTTTACTATTGCTATTACTATTAATTATTATTATTATTAGTATTAGTATTATTATTATTATTACTATTATTACTATTACTATTACTACTACTACTACTACTACTACTACTACTACTACTACTACTATTATTATTATTATTATTATTATTATTATTATTATTATTATTATTATTACTACTACTATTACTATCATCATCCTCATTGTTATTACTGTTATTACTATTACTATTATTATACTATGTGTTACTATACACATGGTCATGATTCTTGATTTGTGTATAAATATATTTTGTAGGGCACCAAGCTCTACTTTAGAGGCGCGCGAATTTACAAAGCAGTAATGCAAGAGTTGCTGCACAAGCTAGGGATGAGCATGGCCGAAAATGTAACCATTTCACATTTTGTTGCATATATACACTACAAAAACACATCGAAATAGGCACGGATTTGGCACGGATTGATCATGTTTAGCACGGATTGCAACTTATTTTTGGCACAGCGACGTGCCGCCAAATAGCTGGTGACTAAATGACATTGGCACAGAATTTGGCATGGATTTAACGTATCTGTGCCGTATCCGTGCCAAATATCTTATGAATTTTATCAAATCCGTGCCAAAAAGCCGTGCCAAATCCGTGCCAAAATCGTTGTTTTTTAGTAGTGATATAATACTAATGTACCGTGCTAAATATGATTCATTTTTCAAGAATATACTATCCTCCGTTTTTTTTAATCGCAATATGTTGAATTTTAAACTATTCATATGATCTACTTTGACTACATTTTACACTATTATTTTATGAAAATTATTTTTTTAAAAAAATATTGTTCAATTCATTTCATTACAAATTTTCAAAATCCGATTTTTAAATTTTTTTTACTAAAAGAGAATAAGATATATTTACGCTCAAAGATGTGCATTGGCAAGTGTGAAATGTTGACCGTTGCAACTAAAAAAGAACGGAGGAAATATTATATTTACGGTGTGTGGATCTATTTAGATTTTAAATTTTAAATTTTGCAGATACATGGTGTAGTATATAAGATCCCAACACAATATAATACGATAGTATTCTACTACTTAAAAATAACTAGTAATTCCACACACATATAAGATAAGTGATCTCGATGTATAAGGACGTACGTAGTAGATCGAGTTGAGACATTTTGAATTGATTTCTTGAAACTATTACGGAGTACTTCCTTTGTTTTTTAATAGCTTATCAAAATTTTGTTTTTTTATTGTTGACAGAATTGCTGCACTTCATTCGTTGATGTATGCAAAAAAAATCAAAATAATAGTACAATGTGTCTAAATTAAATGTACATTTTCAATTTTTTTTTTCTAATAATTTTACTACGTAGTACAAGCCAATTAAATGACTTGGGTAATGCGTTCATAAACATTAAATTTGAAAATATTTGAAGTGTTGAAACTACGTAGTACGTACCCTACGCACATGGCCGGTCCTAGGGGGAGGGCAATAGGGGCGACCGCCCTACGCCCAAAAAAAAGTAGAAAGAGAATTAGGCCCGAGTTTTTTCTTTTATATGTAATCAGAGTAGGCTTCTTTTTTTATTTATAATTTCAATTAATTAATTAGGTCGAATGTGTAATTTTTGTTGACACTTTGAGACTTTTAAAACATAAGTAAAAAGTGTTGAACAGAGTTAAACAAATTTTAAAAAAGAATATAAATTAAGTTTTGATTTTTAAATATAGTTGGTTGTAAGTCAACACATTTGTTGTTGAATCAATAAAAGCACGTCTCGTCATATCTTTTTAGCCTTTAAGAATTTTTATTCTTTTAATTACAAAATTACTAATTTATATTATTGTCTTTGGGTTGCCAGTGCCTCACAATTCTCAAACATCATCCCAATTATCTATTATGCCTAAAAAAACTTAATAGATTAGCAATTTTAAACATTGAACATGTGATCTTGGAAAAGATTGATTATAAAGCAATTATTGATAATTTTACTTCACAATGTTCTTTTGTGATACTAGTGTTGTTACTTTTGTCCAAATTAAATATGCAATTCAAATAAAATGAGGGTGAAGTTCATCTCTATTTTGTAACCTCTATTAGATAGTGTTGTAGGGATAATTCCTCAAATAGGAGTAATTGTTTTTTGAGAATTACAAAATAGAACTGTCATGTGTTTATTTTCTGAATAGGAGTAATTACTGTCATGTTCGGAAAATACTACCACGTGTAAAATATGATACTGTCAAAATATGAAAGTAATTATTTCTATTTAGAGAATAAAAACATGATAATCTTAGTTTGAAATATACAAACGTTTTCGGTCATATTTAGGGTAATTTCTCCTGATTTTATTATACTCCGTAGTTTTTACTTGAAGTATAATTTACTTTATATCTTGAAAATAAGGCCAAAATAGTAATTCGCCCATAGGCCCAAAACTAGGCAGGACCGGCCCTGCCTACGCAAATAAAAAATGGTCATAACTACTGGAAGTTCATTGGTTAAAGTATTACTCATATAAAATGCTTGTCAAGAAGAACGTAGCTTGATCGGGCCCTATAACGTAACTTTGGTAATAATATTATACAAGTATTTTGTAAAATTTTATGGAAAAAAATGTAAACTTTTTTTATTGCCGCTCCTGTCTTTCCAAAGTATGGCTTGTACACTAATTAATGTGTCTAGTCTAAGGGCTTGATTACAAATAAAATCAGCATGAAATTTCATATTGTTTGATTGGGCTAATATCAGATGCATGGGTTAATAATTTGCACTATATGATGTGTAGGCTCTCTTAGTAGGTGGTTCGGCGGGAGGAGTGGCAGTCGCGCTCCACTGTGATGGATTTCATGATTTGTTACCCCACGCTACTAGAGTCAAATGCTTGTCTGATGCTGGATATTTTTTTCCTTCGTAAGATTCATTTACATGCATATGTATATATTTTTAATGACTCAATCTGTGATGGTGTTTGAATTTTTTCTTCGTGTGCAATTTCTTGCAGGAAAAAATTCGGGCATGGAGAGATTTTTACACCAACCTTTCAAGGAGTAATGGCACATGTAATGCATACTATGTTTGTTACGGAGTATATATGTTTAATGGCTTAAATATATTTTTATTATATACCATGCAAATGTGAAACACTTTGTTAATACGGAGTATATTTCATTTAAATATATTTTTATTATATTCCCTACAAATGTGACATACTTTGTTTATACGGAGTATATTTGATTTAAATATATTTAATGGAAATAAATTTACTATTTATTTATTATAATTTACTCCGTATTAGTTATATATTAGTAAAATTCTTCTAGATTTTTTTTTCTGGATTAGAGCTGTAATTTGTTTCTATACTATACGAAGCAGGTGCCAATCAAGGCCTTACCGGAAGAATGCACATCAAGATTAAGTCCATATCTGGTAATTTAGCTTGAATCATTTGTATTAATTAAGTCTTACTGAGGGCATAGCTCACATGCTAGGAAGAGAGTGTCCGGTCAATTTTGGGTGCTTACAAGAATAGGGTGTCATCATTTTTTATACTATCCTCCGTCTCTTTTTAATCGCAACGTGTTGACTATTTGCACTGTTCACATGATGTACTTTGACTACATTTTACACTATTATTTTATGAAAATTATTTTTTAAAAAAATATTTTTCAATTCATCTCATTACAAATTTTCAAAATCTGATTTTTAATATTTTTTTATTAATAGAGATTAAGATATACTTAAGGTCAAATGTGTGTGTTGGAAAATGTGCAAAGGTTGACTGTTGCAACTAAAAAAGAACGGAGGAAGTATTTATTAATTAAGTCTTTTTTTATATTTATTAATTAAGTCATCAACAAAGAAATCTCATGGCTCAATTTATTGATGAATGTCGTTGTTCAATTCGATCAACGATCAAAATTGCTTGCTCAATTTTTTTCTAATAACTATATTTGATTTGATGCATTCTTGCCATCTTTGAATCTAAAACTTAGTGCTTTTATAAAGTTTTTCTCAGTTCTTTAATAAGATCATTGTTATAATTTTATCCAAAAAGTACATGTATGTTCCTCAAAATAATGAACCTCTATATATTTTGTAGTGCTTCTTCCCTCAAAATGTGCAACAATACATCAAAACGCCTATCTTCTTCTTGATGTCGGCGTTTGATACTGTCCAGGTCACAATTTATTTGTGCTTGTGTTATTCTTCATATGTGCTTTATCTTATACATATCGGTGGTGCCCTTATAATTAATGATTTATGTGTATTGATTTCAGGTAACATGGACTTTTTCTGCGAACGATACTATAAAAGAATGTCTCACTATTTCACACAACTGCTCAAATGATATTATTAAAACATTGCAGGGTTGGTAACTTTGTGTTACAAATTACTTTTTGCGTGTTGTACACAAATTATGAACAATCTTTTTATACATAATTAAATACATTGTGTTTCTAGTTTTTCTAAAAGATTTCCAAAAAAAAATCTAAAAGAAGTTTAGTTGTCTTACTAATACAAAAACAAATAATAACAAATATAATACTCGATCATCAGCTCACATATTCTATCTTTTAAATAATAAGTTCATAGTTTGACCTTCACGTATTTTAAGGGAGTTATATCTCTCCTTTTCTTTGTGAAATGGTATATGTATTTGCTCAAAGTCTAGATCCAGGTGCATTATTCTTACACTTTTTTTTCTTCTAGGAGACATATACTTTTTAATTTTTTTTTTATTTTTCTTTTTCTTTTTTTGCAAAAGGAAATTTTTGTTAATGAGAAAAAACAGGGTACAAAGAAAAGATGAAAAAAGCAAAAAGAAAAAACACCCTATAAAATAGTAGGTTCCATCAAGACCCATAAGCATGTCCGTCCCTGCGAGATTGGGATCTCGTCCTCATATGGTGTGATCGCTGGTGCTTTTTTCTGTACATTTTCATTTCAGTGTTGAGGTTCTGTGTAGGCAAACAGTTTTCCTGTTAATTTTTTTATTATTATATGAAGGCAGTAGAGTAAATTGTTAAGTTATTAATTAATTCTTCATTAAATGAGGAAAAACGATTTTATTTAAGATCTACAAAATCGAACTTTAAAAACAGATATAAATGTAGGTAATACGTAGTATGTTACATAAGTTAGTCATAATACAAAATGTAACTTCCTGATAACGATATTTTAAGGGCGCACTACCTCAAATGGTGGTGCTATCACCAACTATGTGTTATATCTTACTCCGTATTATGTTATTATTATGTTAATTAATTATGTTATGCAGTTATAGACTTACAGTAATGGTTCAGAAAGCCTTGTAGTAATTGCATGTGTTTGATATTTTACCCAGATCTACGATTGGAGTTTCTAAGCGTATTGCCTAAACAAAGCAATACTACTTCATCAAGAGGGATCTTGATTACTTCTTCCACTACTCATGAACAACTCTCAAATTATAGATGGAACTCTGATATGGTCGTAGATGGGAGTAATGAGGTACCATACTCGGTATATATTGGCAACATATATGCATGAATATATTTATGTATGGGAACGTTCCAAAAAGAGGCCATTTCATTAAAAATAATAATGAATATCAGACCTTAATAACCAAAATGGATAATGAATTAAATCTAAGCTATTTATGCATAAAAAATTAAATCTAAGCTATTTTTAATTAAACTACATGGTGGCATAATTGTAAACATGTGGAACTCAATTTTTTGATAGAAGTTCATCACTTTGGAATATATATATAGGGTGTGGTTCCAGTGAGAACGATGCTTAACGTGAGAACGTGAGAACACTCACATTTAAATCAATGTGGTGCACAATGGAGCTATTGTGTTGCACATTTTTCATTTGCTCGAATTAAGCCTATTTAAATAAACACGGTTGCATTTTGGTAAATATTGTGAAAATGTGAAAATGTGCAATATAAATAGGTGCTCTTCTTCCTCCTTAATATTTACAATTAAAGCACATTTGATTATTTGACTGCTAATTTTATCGAATGTTTCATGATTTCTAATTGGACAGTACTTTAACATATGTTCAACTAGAATATTACAAATATTAAACACATTCAAAAAAATATAAAATTATTTATTAAAACATCCCATATTTTAAAACATTTTGCATTTTTAACTAGTTTGATTTAAAGGAGGCTAACTTATGAGAAAACCAAGAGAAGACATTAGACTATAGAGGCAGAATAGAGAGAATAGTTTCCAGCTGCTCTCTCTCTCTAGAGGGAGAGCAGCGGCCATTACACGATGTACCAAATTTCCGTTCAATCTATCTGCTTCTTCTTTCATTCTTATGATTGTTTGGTTGTTAGAAATAGGGATTAACAGACTAAATCATTTTTCCTAAGTTATCCATCTATATTTCACAAATGTACCATAATTGTGCTGTGAAAACAATTTGAAACACTATATGGGCTCTATTGTAAGTTAGTTTACTTTTTATTCTATGGGAGACGAGTTAAAGTATATTTTATGAGATCCGATGCTAGTTCATGTACTCTTTAATAGTCAAGTGCGTGCATTTGTTCTTGAAGTGAGGGAACTTTCTGTTTATATAAAAAAAAATGCTTCCACATGTTTTTTATGAACATTTCGTAAATTCGTACAATTATTGATGCACGATTATTATGTATAGTATTAGTTCTCTCTTTAAATTAAATGATACGCATTTACTTTACCAGTTTCATTCAATATTTTACATATCTATCGTGATATACCACCACAATTTGCATTGTATTTTAGAAAATGATTCAATCCTTACATTTTATCAAAGTTTGTTTTGGTCTTGTTTTTTACTTAAAAACAATTTAAATGAATCTATACACAGTTACACACACACCTTTTTATTTTTTAGCATATTCATATAAATAAGGAATGAATTATGAGATATTTTTCTTACTCTTTGCAGACAATTGCAAAATTATTTGGAAACTGGTATTTTGGTCGAAAAAGTGTTCAAGTTATCGACAAATACCAATGTCCCTATAATTGTTCATCGAGCTTAGTTCCAAATGGCAATAAAGCTAATGATAAAGCGTCAGGTGTTGTCGTCTTCTACTACGGATTGTTCGTACTTATCCTTGTGTTCGATCATCTCGTTAGTTTCTTAACAGTGTATTACTGATGTACGGAGTACTATATGTTTGATGGGATCCTCACTTAATTATGAGTTTATTACGAAAGTTTCTGATCGTGAAAGTATGAAGTGATAAATATAAAAAAAATCACTTTTTTTTATGAATCGAATTGATAAATATAGATAATATGGTTAGTAACTTAGTAAGGTTGTGTTTGTGTTTTTGGTTTAATTGGTCTCATTCTCAGATTAGACTGGATCAGACAATAATACACAAACAAATCAGATCATATCAAACTTTGATAGTTATAAAATACACATAAAACATATTTCTACTCCGTATTAGATCAGACCATACCAATTCAGATAAGACCAAACCAGTCAAGAAAACATCATTAATAAGTACTCCCACCGTCCCGCTAAGATTGTCTCAGACAATATTCACTTGGTCAACACAAATAACTCTTAATCTATTATTTTATATATTAATGTTTTATCAAATTTGATTCTGGTTTTTGCGACTTTGTAAAGTCTTTAATGTAGTTTCTAATTTTCAATTTTTTTTCCTCTAAAAATAATTTGAGTGCGGACAGGGATCTGTTTGCTTTATCGTCGATCAAGCATTGTAAATCGAATTATCCCAAACATAGTGGGACGGAGGGAGTAAAACGTAGTACTATATACATTACCTTCGTTATTGCTCTGTTTTTATTGATATTGTTGTAATTAGGGGTGGGCACGGTCCGGGACGGAACGGGAATTACGTTGTCCCGGTACCGAACCCGTTTTACAATAATGGTTCGGAACGGGACGGGACAAGACGTTGTCCTTTTGTTGTCCCCTTTAAACCAGTACCGGGACAAAACGGGACGGTTTGGGACATCCCAAAAAATTGTAGTGAAAAAACCGCAATCCCAAAAACAAAACAAAGCTATTTGAAGAAAAAAATAGCGCAAAAAAAACTCTATGAAAAAAAAGCTACAACTAATTTAGAAAATGGTGACAAGTAATGCAACTTACCAGATTAGGTGCATGAAAAAAAAGTTGATAGTAGGTAGTAAAAAAACACTAGCATAAAAATCTATCAAGAAATCTATATAAAAGATAAATGAATACTTTGAGAGTGAAAATCATTTTTTTGTAGATAGATGATAGTTCATATTTTTTTTTTTTTTGGATAAACTGTAAATATATATATCCAAAGTGTTTATGTACATCTTGTACAAATAGCAAAAACCACATATGGGTCATCCCAAAACAAGATACCCGGTCAGATCAAAAGCTCATCTAGCTACATATACATGCTAGCCATCACAAAACTTGGTGACGAAACAGATAAAGATCAAAATGTAATCATATGGTGCGGATACATGGAGTATAGCACTTTATAGACCATATACTTTATCTGGTGTACTATATCTTCCACCTTGGTCTTTGCCGCGGCAAAACAAATAGCGTTTCTCGTCCTCCATAAGCAATAGATAGCATAGCAAAAAGATATCCTCACGGCTTTAGCCTTGATGTGTGCACCATTATGCTCCTTCTTTATCCACTTGACAGCACTCCGCAACGTTGTCATTTGTCTTGTAATACCAAGGCCTGTCTTTATCTTTGTCCACACCTGTCCTGTAAAATTACACTAAAAAAATAGGTGTGATACCGTTTCCGGTTCACCCTTGCAAAAGGGGCAAGTGTTAATCACATCAAGATAACTCAAATTATCATACGTGGCCAACCTATTACGAAATGCTAACCAAGTGATGAACGAAAATTTGGGAGGTATATATGACTTCCAAATGAGGGACATCCAAGGGCGTGAGGTACCCTTTATCCTAAGAAGGTCATACATCTTACATGATGATTGTAACACTTGAGATTTAATATAAACGGATTAATAGTACTACTCATACCAACAAGATGCATCTCCTTTTAAGGGAGCTCATCACCCAAGAACTCCAAAGTTAAGCGTGCTCGGGTGGGAGTAGTCTTGGGATGGGTGACCCCCTGGGAAGTTTCTCAGGGCGCGCACGAGTGAGGACAAAGTGCGCGGAAAAGGCTAGTGGCGGTTTGTGAGGACAGTACTAGAGGTCTGGAGTAACTACCTCGGGGCCTGCGGGGCCGGGGTGTTACAATGATACTTTCCCATCAGTAGCTATCTTGCCAAGATATACTAACGCCTCATTAAGAGAGGGGAATTTGGAGACAATCAAATCCCGAATCAAAGCCAACCTTTTCATCAACAAAGAGTCCCTATTGTGTGGAGCAAAGGTCCACACATCCCTTCCATGGAGATAAACTCCATGAACCCACCTAACCCAAAGAGAGTCTTTCTTGGAATGTATGTTCCAAAGGGTTCGGGATAAGAGAGCATTATTCCATACCTTGGTGTCTTTTAAACCCAAACCCCCCTCATCTATAGGTAGGCATATATCCTCCCATGCCACTTTTGCACGTTTGCCACCCCACAGAAATAGCCGACATATGCTAGTGATTCGATCGAGTATAGCTCTAGGAGCAGGAAAAATACCAAGCCAGAAAGACTGTACTCCTTGTATAACTGCCCTAACCAACTCCACTTTACCTGCATAAGATAGGGTCTTTGTGTTCCACGCATTTATATAATCTGTAACAGTGTCAAGCAAAGGAGCAAACTGTGCTACAGATATCTTTAAAGGTGCAAGTGGAATACCCAAATATCTAACAGGAAAAGATCCCTGTTGAAAGTCAACCATATGGAGAATGTAATAAGGAATTTGGTTAGCTGCATTTCCTCCTAAAAATATATTGGATTTGTCATGATTAACCATAAGTCCCGAGACCTGACCATAGTCATTAAGAGTATCTACCAATATCTTAATAGAAGTGTAGTTTCCTTTAGAAAATAACATCAAATCATCCGCATATGCAAGGTGTGAAATTTTTACTTTAGAGCACAAAGGATGGTGACAGAAGGTAGGAATCGAGGTTCTAACGTCCAACATCCGTGAGAAATACTCTAAGCAAATAACAAATAGCATGGGAGACATGGGGTCTCCCTGTCTCAAGCCCCTCTTTCTCTCAAACCAACCATCACTACTAGAAAAATGGTCTATAGTGACACTAAATTAGTGTCACTAAAAGTTTTAGTGACACTTAAAAAGTGTCAACGAATGGTGGGAGTTGTGACACTAAATTTAGTGTCACTGTAAAAGTGTCACTAAATTACGACACTCTGGTATCATAAAATATAGTGATACATTTGTATTGAATTATTTAACGACACCTTGATATCATATATCTTAGTGATACACTGGTATCATACATGCTTGTATTATATATATATATATATATATATATATATATATATATATATATATATATGCACACATATATATAATATATATATCCTTAATAAAAGTGTGATCTCACAAGGTAAATATTACTCCATAGTAAATAATATAGAAATACCAAACAAACTTTTTATTAATAAATTAACATAACAACAATCTTGCATTTTAATGCCAAGAAAGTATCACCATATCCAATCAAATTGTGTACAAGTACTAAAACCTATTACAAATAAAGTAAAAAAAACATGAAGCTGCGATGTGAACAATTTGAGGTCGAATCAAGCTAGAGCTGCAATGGTCTTCACTTCGAGCATTAATCATTGGCAGAGGAGGGTGTATATATGGATTCACTTCTTGTCTATAGTGTTTCTTCATGACATACTCAGACACCTGGAAGAAAACTCAAATAATGTAAAACTCAAATAGTGTTTCTAGTGCACAAAATATCATGGGAGAAGAAAGAAAACCTTAATCTAAAAGCTTGACCAATCTCTGTAGTAGCAAAAGAATTTCAACTGTCATTGTTTTTTATACTCTGTAGTACAATAGAGAGATACGATTATAGTGTTATGGCAATATATGACTTCCTAAATAATCAAATGAAGACGTTGAATAATTGCATTGAAAAGAAGAAGGAACATTTTCTCCCCCTCCAGCTTCAGCAATTGAATAATGCCATGACTTCATCACCAGTCATACTCCTGACATGGTATAAAAATACCTCAATTCTTTCATAAAAGCAAACCAAACCTTGTGTGCAGTGAAAAAGATGACAACCACTATGCTTGTTCTTTCTCCCTATTACATTTCATCCGCTCTTTGCCTGTAATCAGCAAGGTACTCTCTGTGTGTGCATAAATTTTCCGTCTTTAAGAAAATACTCTGCTCCCTCCGTCTTATTGGAAGATTCCTGGTAAGCATCTAAGAGCTGTAAGTTTAGTTAACGGAATTCAATTCAACTTCCATTGTAATAGTATAGATCCTTCAAGTTGTTAAAAGACTTCTAAGGATACTAAACCTGAAACGTTTAACATGATAAATACATTTATGCAACAATATGACTTCTAAGGATAAAACAATGCTCAAAAGTGAACGAACCAACACAACTGTCGAAAAAACTGATATATACTTTCAGTTTTATAAAACCAATGCCATCTATAAAATTAAAAGCCAGCAAACCCAAACAATCTGTAAAAAATGAAGTCCTGAAAATAAAACTCAAAATTTGCAATCTATAGAAAAATCAATCTGAAAAAACAAAAACTAAGAAACTCAGAATACTTCTATCAGCAAGAAAACATCCATAAAATACAATGTTTGATTTGTGTTAAGCATTGGCACATACTTGTAAGCTATACAGACAAGTCACTTACCTGAACAAGGTTTAGTGAGGTTGTTTCTCCTCAAGAATAGTCATTTATGCTTGTATGGAGAACCTATTAATATAAATGACCTGTTAAAACATGAACTGATAATTGAAGAAAATGAAAGATATGAAATTAAGGTTCTAAGAGCTACAAATTACCAATAAGTTGAAAGATTAAATCACTATTTCTAAATCTCTGACAAGAAAAACAAGGAATTAAAAGGTGTTTAGTATAAATTTGGGAGATCAGATGATATCAGTTGGGAGAATGGCATACTTTTTATATATAAGTCATATATAGGCTTAAGTGAATCGTTCATTTCTTTTTCTGAAGAGTACTCTTGACTTTCCTCCAATTTCATTTTAGAGAATATCGGGTTCACTATCTTCCATCACCATGATTGGCTGTCATATCGGTTGCAAATTATAACAAACAAACAAACATTTTATGATGTAAGTAAAAGAAAAATTGAAGAGACCACTTGAATTCCATTATGCTAAAATATCT